CCACGCCGGACAGGTACCTGCTGCCATTCCTTATCGCGCTTCTCCTCAACCTCACAGACAAAGGGTGAGGGGTCCACAGCCTTGGTGACCACATGTTCCTCTTAAGCTTGCGAGAGGGAGGATAAGGTGTTACACCAGTAATCAGAATGCATTGGCTGTGGGGAGGGAACATCCATCTTTAAACACTAGGTCAAACTGGTGAAACCAGGCCCTGCTCTTTAGAGTCAGTGGCGCAAGTCCCACTCACATGTGTTGAAGACTGGGCTCTGGGCCAAGGCATGGCTTTGATTCAATAAAAGAAAAAAATACATTTTGTTATTGGATGCCTCCTCTAGAATCATAAAACCTCACTGAATAATGTAGGTTGGAATGGATCTCTGAAGTGCTCACATTCAATCTGTTGTCCACTAGGACCCCCAAGTCCTCTTCTGCAAAGCTGCTCTCTAAACAGTCATCCCAGTCTGTAACACCGCAAGGAGCTATTCCATCCCATGTGAAGGATTTCTCATTTCCTTTTGCTGAACTGCATGAGGGCCCTGATGGCTCATTTCTCCAGTCTTTCAAAGTCCCTCTAATCAGCAGCTCTGCCCTCCAGCACATCATCTACTCTCCACCCCAGTTTAGTATCAGCCGCAAGCTTGGTGACAGTGCATTCCACCGGTGCACTCCACCAGTGCACTACATTGCATCACCCAGGTCACTAGATAGTACTGGCCCCAGCACTGACCCGTGGGGGTGGCACTTGCAACCAGCTGTCATTTGGACTGTCACTATTTTTGATCACAACACTTTGATCCTCATATCTCAGCTAATTCTTCATCCACCTTAAAGTCCAACTATGCAAGCCATATCCCGCTAGTGTGCCTACAAGCACACTGTGGGAGACCATACCAAGCACCTTACAAAAGCCAAAGTCAATGGTATCCACTTTCCCCTCCTTGTGCACAGAGCCAGACATCTCAACAAAGAATATGATTAGGCTGGTCAGGCATGATTTGCCCTTGGTAACTCCACACTGGCTGCTCACCACCTTTGTAAGGGTACAACACACTCACATGCTTCCAGTCCCTTAGAAAAAGCTGACACCTACTCCTCTCCCTGGGAAGACTTTTTGAAAGCTAACAATTTGTCACTTTGTAAGATTACTTGACACAGATGACCAAAAAAGGATGAAATAGAAATGGAACCATGTATCATAGGTTTATTAGGGAAAAAATTTATACTTCAAGACCATATACTTGGCACTGCACTGTAGCAAAACTATGTGAGAACAATTAAAGTGTTAAAATCCAAATCACCATGAAAACTAAAAAGCTCTTTTAATCAGTTTAGTTCCTTTCTTTGTCCTCATACAATTTACAGTAACTACAGGAAGCAACTGAAAAGGTGTTAGACCTACACTACAAGTATGCTGGAATGAGAGTAAGAGATAGACCAGAGACTGGAAGCATCCCCCAGGTATGCTGCTACTCTCCCGGGCTGTCAGAAAGGTGGAGTCTTAGTAATGTGAGCAAAGGCTGTTGAGATGTTACCATGAAATGGGAAGACCATGAAAGTTACTGAGTAAATCATTAATGCTAGATTGCCCAGAAGGACTACTAAAATCCTACTTTATTGCAAGTTTCCAAATACCTGCTAAAAAAATCATCATTATACATTTCATCTACGTCAGCTTTTGCTTTCTGATCTGAAGAGATTTCGGCAGTATTTTAAAGGAACTGTATCCCAATTTGTCCCCAGGACGGATCAAAGTCAAAGGCATTTCCTGCTAGTTGACTCTTGTATAGATGGCTTGGGCTTCTTTTTGAAGACAAAATAAGTTGAAAGCAGTTTCTAATTTGTAAGTTATTCATCTCATGCCTCCACACAGTGAAGTGAAAGGTACTGATAAGGAATAAATAACATACCAAGTAAGATAAGAAAGGATTGAAGAAAAGTTGCACTAAAACTTCTAAATAGTAAAGGAGAGAAAGTTTAACTCATGCTGATAAACTGCTGAATATGTGCTTTTGCTGGACTATACAATGCCACTCTAACAAGGATAAAGGGGTAGATTTCAAATGAACGTCCAGTCCAAAGGCAGTCAAGGAAGTAGGACACAGGTCTTATGATCAATCATTCAAATGTTAGATCAACAGGAGTTGCAAGAAGAATACAGCTCTTTCCTTGGTTAATATATTGTGCATAGCAATATCTCAAAGAATTAACAGCACCTTTTAGATAAAAATTCCAAACATATTTACCTAGTGAACAAGAAAAACTCAGCATCTCTAAGCAGTACATCTGCAGATGTACAGTACTGTATTTATATAGATATAGATATACAGATCTCAAAGTGAATTTACACTGTGACCTGGTGATTAGTCCAGCAGCAGGCAAACCCACAGGGTAAGTCTTCAGAAGAATATATCACCTTTGGTGGGTGCCCGGTTACGTGGCAGGATTGCATAGGGGAGCCCCAGAGGGCAGCAAAGGACAGTTTAGCATCCCATTAAGCAAGCACAGCATGCTTAGGTCGTTCCCGCAAGATATAAGAAACTTCCAAATTTTCATGGCTAATACAGTTCTAGTTTTCACAGGTCACACACACTGCAACCACCTCTCTGTGCCTTAAAGGCCCAGAGGAGGAAGGTAGGACACCAAACTTATATCTTGTCCCTGCTTCCAAGCAGAAATCAAGCAGCACCACAGATCTAGGATGGTAAAGTGGGGACCATGTTTGGCTTCATGAGGGTTTCTTGAGCAGCTGGTCTTCACTGGTTTGCCTAATTTCTTTTTTTATTTTTTTAATTTCCAAATCAGTTGCTCACAGTCCTCTGGTAGAAATAATTTGAAAAGCATGGTCTGCCTCAGACAGGAAAGCAGGCTGCTACCATTTCCCTGGGATGGGCACGCCACATTCATACCAGCCCACGTAGTAGTAGGGTGTTGTGTATCCAATGCGTCCAAATGATACAGGCTCCTGGCGGTACTGGCGGTAATACCCTGTTGGGAGAAAAACAAAGACATAGTCATTTAACAAAAGTAACAGACACAGCGAGAGTCAACCCCACAGCCCAAATGAAAACTTAGAAGCTGTCTGGTGGGGAGTTTTGTCAAAAGGGTATTTGCTAGACCTGGTATTCACTTTAGATCTTTCTTTAAAGATTTAACTCTGGTCCTTTATATGTCTTGTAGTTTTGATAGATTTTACTGTCCAAAATCTCTTTAAATATTGTGTAATGCTGTGGTCTGCCAAAGCGCTTCTGCATTTCACTCCAAAAGGTGTCTACATTTCAGCTGTGTTTATGAAGCTTGCAAGTCAGTTTAAATATATGAAGGATTCTGTGGCAAAAAATACCATCAAATCGTATTATCTCATAGGGCTCAAGAGACTATCAACAAACATCAGCTTTTCACAAAACAAAAAGGTATCATTTCATGCAGTAAATATGGACTTAAGCCCTTTCTCCCCCTTTTTCTTCATCTGCAGAAAGAATGTGACTGCTTAAAGTGTTAGGAGAGGTGCAGCATTCTTCTCTGCATAGCTCGTGCACTGGAATATCTGAAACACTCATGACTTGTGCCAATAATGTACTTTTGGTGTGCTCTCTATCTCTGTCTCTTAGACCTAGTAATACACATCTGGATTGTTCATCTCCTTTTTGAACTTAGAAATGCTGTGCTTCCCAGTGATATATAAATAACAGTGACTATTTCAGTTTCTTCCTGGTCATGCCACCAGTAGAATATCAACAAACAACTTAACAAGGAAACCATTAAAGCAACTGAATAATTTAAATAATTTGCCTTATTGAAAGGATTGGCTGACTTTCATGATTGGGTTCATTTTGAGAAGGAAGCCATCACTCTCTTGGCTGTGTGAGCTGAGCAGTTTACTTGGAGGAACTCCTTCAAGGTGAGAACTTTCACTCAGAGGAAGATATATACCAGGCCAGAATAGAAGTCCTGCAATCCAACCTTAAGTCATTGGACATACTCCTATGTGTTTGGCATTGAATTAACTGGTTGGAAATAATTTGCAAAAAAATGTATTTGCAAAGCTGCAACTGGTTCTTTATGGCATGTGAAAGAGCTTACTCCTCTATTCAATAAGGCAGATCTTATAGCTGGGAGAAAGGTTTCATAGACCTGTACAATTTTTTTCTTTCTGTTTTGGCATTTTGTTCCTGTAAATGATTTGCATTATATGCCCCTCTATTTCCCTCTCTCTCTCTCTCTCTCTCTGTGTCAACACACACAAGTCCTTTTGGGACTTTCACAACCTGTTCAGCTAGGCTTGAGTACAAGACCATCTCACCACCTACCACATCAGCAGGGCTCCTCAGAGAGCTGCCAGTAGTGGTGGACAAAGAGGTCTGCTCTCTGTCCTGCTCCCTACCCCTTAGACCTACAGATGGGATGACAGGCACCTGCCAGCACCTCACACTCATGTTGCCATACCTCGGATGGTGGGCAGGGCTTCAATGTACGACTGAGGTCCCGTTCTTCCATCCAGGTGTGAATCCACAAACTGGCAGTGGTCCTCACCCCTTCCCCAGCTATCCCCGATGCTGTAGAAGGTATCTGAAGACAGATTGTTTGACTCAGCATTATTTTTGTTTGGGTTGCTTTTTACCACCAGAAAAGCAGATGGGAGAGAAATAAGGAGAAGTACTACAGTGACAAACAGAGTAATACCAATGAACAAACAGTGGCTGAAAACAGAAAGAAGGCTACCTTTGCAGTATGAAAGGAAGAATTATGGAAAAGAGAAATGGGTTATAGCTCAGTAAGGAATATTCCCCATTTTGCAAGTCCATGGACACTGCACCACAGACAGCAGGCGGAAGGAACTTCAACTGAACCAGTCATTTCGGTATATCATAAGAAAGTAAAAAGCATTCAATTTGTCAATACTGTCAGTTTGACTAAAGTTTCAAATGAAAATTAAATCTTTGAACCACTCTCTAGCAGATGAATTGGGTCTTGCTGCCTCGATTGTTTCTTATCGTATATTCAAACACTGCCTTTAAACTATACAAATGCAGTGTCATAAAAATAACCTATTTGCATAACCTGAAAAGCCATTGAGATAATCCCAGTACCCCAGATCAACAAGTAATCATATATCAGAGAATTAATCTTGGTGCCTACCTTTCAGGTCATCACTGAGGTAAATCTTGTACCTCAAGGAGTTGCAAAGAACCACTCCTACAAACTTTCGGTACCAAGTTCGTTTCACGTACTGCTTGCCGGTGCAGTCTGAATAGGTGGGGTCATATTTAAAGGTGAATGGGATCCAGATAGGCTCACCACCTTAGAGAAAAAAACCAAACAAACAACATTAAGGACAGACTTTAACATTTCAGTCTGAGTTTTGCTGAGGTTAACATCTGATAACATGCTTTACAAGAGATGCTGCAGCAGATTAATGCATGACTTTTCTATATCTAGAAATACTACTTCAAGAACAAACGTCAAAAAAAAAAAAGCAAGGGACTTGATTAAATCCCTTCTAGGCAGTAGACAATAATAACTGTCAAAATGATAAAAATATCATTTCATGTACTGAACCACAGTTTTAAGTAAACAGAGTCTCACTGTTTTTAGTAAGACATCTGCTCTATCTAGTGATACTGAGTTTCTTTTCTAAACAGAGTCTGACTTTAGGTCTGACAATGACACCTTTAAATACAGTCACTTGCTTTTTAACACTAAGTACAAAACTTAATCCTTTTGCTAAAAAACAGATGTTAAAGATTCTGCAGTGAATAACAGTCTGTGGTGTGAATTCAAGCCTATTCTTGCTATTTGGTTAAAAAGATCAAATCAGAAATGTACTTTTCCATTTTGTTTTCCCACATTATATCAAAACAGCTGAGGTTCCAATAATACACAAGTGAGACCTTTCCTGGAGAACTCTGTTCAGAGCACTGCTGCAGAGGAGACTGCTTAACTGTACCACCAAAGACTAAATATTCCTACTGGCTTGACTAAAGGCTTGCCTTATACAAGACAGTATAATTTCTTTTGAAATGGGTGTTGTAGAAATGTGTGTATATATAATTACACAAAAAGCTTCCAATGGGATAATTGGCATTTTCTGTCTGGCTACAACACAAAGCCCTGTTGTTACTGTGCAGTCTTGAGGTGGTTTACAAATCAGATCAAAAGAGTTTTTGTTGGTCATTCTTCCTCCCTCTTACTAGGCACAAGGATCAAATCCTACAAACACTTGCATGTGAGAAGTAATCACTGATCAGCAGTCCTCAGAACTCCAATGGTTTGGACACAAACGTAACTGGACTCACTCTGCAATTAGTCACACAGTGAAAGGATTACAGGATTTTGGCCACAGCTTCCTCTTTAGAATAAAGCAATAAAATTTCTTGAATGCAGTTTTACTGCTATGAATAGTCTGCTTTTGTCCATCACTTTTGCCCACTTCCAAAAATCCTGAAGGATAAACTTAGCATATCCTGTAAGAGTTGTGCTGGATGTTCAGAAGCTCCTTATTTCCACAGGTTCCCAGAGCTCTACCACCTATTTTTGGCCTGTCTCATCTCTACCACTGCAGCTACAAAAAAATACTTTCTCCTTGTCCAGTCAAAGCAGAAACTACAAGTAAAAAGCTATCACCTCCCAGAACCTCCTTTCCATGAACAGCCCCACAAAATAACTGGCAGTGAAAATCCTGAAGGGGACCAGGAACACGGGAAGGCCACCGTTCTCAGAGGCCTCCCACACTGACTGCCAGAGACATAGTGTGCTCATGCTCTCCAATATCTGTGCATCATCAGAGACATCTGAAAGGACATGGAAAAAACAGACTAACAAGCATAATAAAACATAGATGGGAGGCAGACACTGGACATTGTTTTCATGAGCAATGTAGTCAAAAAGCCCCAGAACCAACCTTTTGAACTGCTTAGGAAAGCTGACAGAGAGTAATAACTGATGTCTTTTTTCCTGCATCTCTTCCAAGAGTACATGATGCCTGGGATTACCCTGTCAAGGTTGGTCCTAGCACCAGGAAATCAGCAATTCCAAGCAGGGGCTGAACTGGCTTATTGCAAATTTGGAAATGCAAAGCAAGCTCAAGAGTTTCATGGCATATAATTCAGGTCAGTAACAAATCCTCGATTTTTTTATTATTTAGAAGGGCATAGGATAGGAAAACTTGATCTTGCTGATCAAACTGTGCTCAGGCAACTGAAGGACACAGATACAGAAGCAATATAGTTTAGTGCTTATTACTAAGCAATTAAAGCTGTTGTACCAGGCAAAAGATGGGCTAAAATCAAGTGCTTATTCTAACATATCTTTACAAGATTTTTTTTTCAAAGACTAGAATAAGAGGTCCTAAGCCAGAAAATGTTTTGTGAAGTAACACAACAAATTACTACCTGTTCCTGCTTAAAACGGTAAACTGTGTGTTGATATGCTTCTAACACCTATACTGTAACTGTTTTGCACAGGTTTTATGCACTTGATGAAAGAAACAGCAGAGAAAGACTTACCAGGTGGTCTGACAATGAGGAGGGGATTGTCTAGAAGAATGAAACAGATAAAATTTAATATTTTGTTCCAAACATTGTTTTATAATAAGAAACATACAGTATCACTCAGGAGAATATTATTTGCAGAGTAGCTGCCCTTATGAATTCCACATTCATAATGTGGAATTTACATGTCCTCTCAATTTGCAGAGCTAATTAGTGTTTGTTATTCCACTGTTTTTCTCAGTTGATGAAAGTTGCCACAGGATTGCATATTTATTTTGATACTGTAAAAACTCTACTGAGATCAGTACCAAACTTCAAAGCCAACTTTGAAACAGATTTCCTCCTCTCAGAAGGTCTCAAAGCAGCAGGACAGTTTCACTGTAGGCTTCTGAATACATAGTGTAAGTTACACCTGCAGGCCTATCTTCCAGAGGAAAACATAACCTCCCTCTTGTGTGCAAATCTCAGTCTCAGACATCTATCACGTTTAGTGGTATTCATAAATATGTGAAATTTACCATTTTAGCTCTAGAAGAGTACCCTGAACAACCAATTTCTGTCTTTTCTGACCTACTCCGTCACTGTAACCATACCATCTGGCTTTGAATTTAGCAACTGCTTTTGTACTTGCACCAGCTGGAAAGCCACCTTTGGCCACATGACAAATGAAAGATCAATGCTGCAAATAAAACTTTAAATTTGGTGGATTTAAGTTGCTGAATAAAGCTCACAAGGTAGCTGGTTTTGGATAGGAAAATGAGGCATTTAGGCTCACATACTGGCAGTCAGCTAATCAGCAAAACTCCCTGCAAGATACAGCATGCTGTATTTGTCCAATGTTAAATATTATGCTTGGATTTATATTTGAGTTTCTTACTCCTGTAAAAAAATCTGAATATGTTATGCAGTACCATTTACTTATCTTGTATCTTTAGCTCCCTTTTGTAAAGATGGTTCTTAATGGAGCTTCTAAAGCCAGCAGGTTGAACTCAAATGAGTAAAGGCAGAGACTGCATAAACCCCATGTTGTCAAAAGGGCAAAATTTGCAAGACACAACTGACCTTTTATTCAAGTAAAGACTGAATAATATGCCTTTTATTATTCAGTGAAGTCATTGGCCTCTGGCTTAATGGAAGAAGAAGAAATGAGTAAATACAGCTCATTTAATGTACTGTTTTAGAAGGGGGTGCTGCTCTTGAGCACACTATTAGCCCTGTGAAAGTGTAGTGTGTCCTGTCAAAAAAAGAGCAGAGAACTTTGCCCATCTGATGGAACAATTATTTCCTATGTTTCTTCCAGAGACAACCGCTTCCAACTATTCAGCTGTTCACAATTAGGAAGCTAATTTACTAAATGTTTGGTCAATCTATTGAAGACATCAAACTTCCCATTGCTTCTGCATTGTTGAACATTAGTAGTCGTTTGTATTTTAAATTCAACTTCCTGCTACCCTGAAGTTCACTTTAATGTCACTTATATTTTCATAGTGGCATTAGAAGTGCATATTATTTTCCTAGCTTTACTGAAAACAAATAATTAACCTAAAAGAAAATAAATCTCAAAAGCAGCAAGTTCAGGCTAATCACCATTATTACCATGCTGGTTTCAGTCACTGCCTTGCCACATCTGTTACTAGGAACTCAGTTTTGTGATGAAAATAAAAAGCAAAACATACCAGATTCTGTGATAAATGAGACTGAAGAGCTAACAGGTCCATAACCAAAGGGATTCTTTGCTTGGACTTTAAAATAATACCTGAAACAAAAAGAGAGGCAAAATGAATAATATAAAAACATTGATTCCCCTGCAATGGACTAAATGATAAATAATACTAAAACAGGGTGAGAATCAAACCAGCAGAATTCCACTGAATTCAAGTGTCCTTTGCATCAAACAGAGTTGGATACTCAGCCAGGGTACGAGCTGGCTGTTACATGCAAGTTTCTCTTTTTTGCAATTGCTCACATGCATATTTTTGGAGCATTTATCTTTTATCACTCCCCTTCCAAACAACTCACAGAACTACACCCACTTTATATGAAACAACCAATAGTAACAGACTAAAAGAAAAAGTTGCAAGGAAATTAAATTCTTATCAGAACAGTTTTAAACAGGATTAACTCCTACAAAAGCAATAGTGTGAACTGCATACTAAAACTAGATCAGATTTACAAGAAATCAGAAGCTAAGCTTTTGACCTTTCTGTAAAACTCTAGCAGCATTAAGATCACAATACTTAAGTAATATGAGAAAGTTTCACATGTGATTACTTATTGATTCCCCAAAGTATTTAGATCACATGCTTAACTCGAAGCACATGACTCACCACTAGAACTCTATTATTTGCTCAACAGAAGCAAAATTATGCTCACTCTTACAGAAGAAGATGTAAAAGATGTGTGTAAGCATAATTTTAATTCATTTTCAAATACAATGATTTTTAGTTGATGCCTATCCTGACATTTTTTCCCCAGATTAATGTTTTCTTCTTTCCCTTTTTGGTTTGTATCCAGTCCAGCAGAAACCAATTAGAACGGAAGATTACTGTAAAAAGTTCCAGCACAGCATTTTTTAAGTGCCTGAGATTAGGTTTTCCTTTCTTGCCTGATTGCTCAATCTCATTCTTGTAAAGAAATTAATAAAAAAATGACCACACCTCTGTAATATCCACATAGCATTTGGATCCTGATTTAGCCTCTTATCCAAAAGTAGACATCTCCAAAACGCCACACATGACCCACATAACAGGACGTGCGCTTACTTGAGGGGACAGGGGCCACCGAGCGCAGAACCAGCTCTCATGGCAATGTCCCATCTGAGCAGCAAGCCTGATGCTCCTGGTGAAAGTGAGCCTGCCCCACTTAAAACACATCCGGCTGCTCTTGATGGCAAAGCTCTCTTCATCCTGCAGAGAAACCTACTACCACTGATCCGCTTGCACTGACCACACTGGGCTGAGACAGTGTGGTTCACAGCAGAGGCGGTCTGACGTCCCCTAGAAGCTGTTTCTACCTGACACAGTTTATACACCAAGTGTGGACACCATCCACACTAAAAACTCTACTCTTCTTTCTTCACTTCTGCCCACAAGAAATGACAGTAGCCATTGCAACAGGTTTTAATGTCATGTAAGATGCTTGTGCTTTACAGCCTTCAAGGCAGCAAGAAAATTCAATGCTATTCTGTTGCAGAAGCTTTGCTATTTCCAGTCTGCCACTCAACTTTTACTGCATGCATCTTCCTGTACTGTAAGATGGATCTGTTCTTCAAGTACTTAGCCACAAAGCAGGGCCTGAAAGTTGCTCCTGAAAGGACTATCTCTGGCCTAAGCACCAGCTGAGCACATATGCAAATACTCACACTGATAAACCGGAGAGGACACAGTTGAACCAGCCCTTTGGCAAAGGTGAATCTCTTTTTTCATTAAAAAGTATGCCTTTTTTCATACCAAGTGAACTGTTTTGCCTCAAAAGCAAACTGATCCCTATGAAAAAGCTGAAAATGTGCAAATAACATCCACTTCTTCAGCAGAAGGGTGGCAGTCATGTGTACACACAGTTTTGCCATGAAGGAAGCCAGTTATCTCCTGAGTACATGCCAGGGCACCGTCTTGTTCACTTTCTTAAAATCACAGGCGGGTCCTCTAGGTAAGATCAATGTGGAAGCTACAGGAATTGAAATATTCTGGACTTCATCCATGGCACAAGCTTTACCTCATATCTGTACTAGACCCGGAGCACACACATGATCAGACCCTCTGTGGGACGTGTTCCTACCTCTGCATAGGTGACATGCTTCCTGTCCCTGCTGATGTATGCTTGGTGTAAGTACTTCAGAAGAGCAGGAGAAAAATGTTTTCCAGTCCACATCTTTTCCATGATGCTTCAAAGCATGGTGAAAACATCTGCATGGACACCTAACTTCTGCTGCTTCCAAAGAGGTGTAATTAGATACCACCTTTGCAACACAGTGGCACCTTCTGAGCAACCCTTTCAATGCACTTAATATGTGTGTAGTAATGCTCGCTTCAAAATATTCCCATGAGAAACACAAGTGCCATGATCCACATCTGAAATAGGAGAGAGCAGCCCGAGAACCTTGTGCTCAAACCTCATCTATTTAAGTAGGGAAAAGCACGCAGTTTTGTATCTAATGTGTAATGCAGGAACTGATTGCCTATGCAATCATGACAACTGTGCATACAAGTGTCCTGTTACGTACATAAAAGCCCATTTGGGACACATGATTGTTCAAGATGCCTGCCTGACTGTCTGGAAAAAACAGTGATGAAGTTATGAGTACATTTTTCTTTGCTAAATTGGAAAATTAGTTCTTAAGCCTTTATATATACAAGAAGTCTTTAGCAGTGCCAGAAAGAGAGCCAGGTCTCATGACTTGCCGACCTGTGACTTAAACATAGACAACTCTATGATTGCTGTATTAAGAACGTCAACAAAGTAATGCAGTCGGGATATATTTCTTTCTCAGACATGACAAATAAAAAAGAAATTGCCAAATCCCTCCTAGGTCCAGGCATCTGACATTTTCATTAGTCAGAATCCTTCAGCTGATGAATTTGCCAGGAAATCTCAAATCAGTATAGCTCTACTGTTCTTCCTCACATAAACACATGAACAAAAATTGTAACGTATAAGTTGTTTGTGCTTTGATTACACTTTGCTTACGCAGAATTCCAATGAATTGTTACCAATAAATATAGAAGAATCACAACTGCAAGAGATGCAAAACCGTACACTGTTCATTTTCAATACAGACAAGAAAAAGGCTTTTCCTCTTAAGAGTAAACCTCCTTCGAGAGTTTTGACTAACACGTCAAAAAACGACATCATAAACTGTAATGGTGCAGTGAATATGTAATATCTTTATTCATTTAGACTATATGACTAATCGTATCACCATACCTGTCACTTTGAGCAAGATCATTTTATGACAATTCAAAGTGTCTCCCTTCTGTTCGAATTAAATAGCTGGCGCTCGCAGCCACAAAGTGAGATAATCACTCAGCATACTAATTAGGGAAACAGCTGTTTTTTAAAAAAAATCATTAGCCATAAAATCCTTTTTCCAGTCTTTCTGAAGGCATGCCTGCATGGGCTGCCCCCAGTCCCGTGACCCATCCAGCGGCAGCCTGAGGTGGCAGGCCAGCCAGCTGTGGGACACACAGCAGCACTGTCCGCATGTGCTGCAGGTGGCAGGACAGGAGCCATGGCAATCACCGTGACCAGAGCCACCCATGGGTCCTCACAGCCGGTGTGGTAGCTGTGTGCCACACAGGTCTACCGCTTGCACAGGTCGAGGGTTTCCTTCACACCTTTTGTGCTGTCTGGTGATGCACAGCAGCCGGTTGTGGCTGATGCTGCTTGTTGTATACAGTGTGGCTTTGCTTTAACGGAGATACAGAAAGGAAACAGAATTTTTTGGTGCATCTGGCCCCTAGAGCCAGAAGATCTGAAGATCCAGGCTCTGTTTGCAACTGTAAGCCCCAAGTAAATGTCTGAAAGCCTTCTATGAAATGCTCTGTACAACCCTGGAATTGATAGCAGGCACTGTGGGATCGAAATGTCCCTTGAGAGGACAAAAAACAAGTGGACAGGGAAGAAGATTCGAGGAGACATGGAGATACCGTGGTAAAGGATGATGTTTGAAATCATGAGACTAACTAGCCACTCCCATCAGTGCCACAGCTTTCCCGCAGAAAGGCAGGAAAAAGCCTAACCATGCTCAAGAAGGAGATTGAAATGTTTATGATGAGGATTATATTGTTTGTGACTGCAGGAGACTGGATTTAGTGGCTGAGTGGATGCTGTCCAGCCCTTTGCATCAGTCTTCTGTGACAGCTGAGAATTAAGGTTAGGGAAGGGATATTGTCAAGACTGCTGTTTTTAAGATTTAATAAGGTTTAAAGTAATTTTAGCATTTACATTCACATGTCACAAGGAAGCAGCTTCTGTGCCCACTGAAGCTGACCAGAGTTTTGCTAATGGAAAAACTTCCACTTCTCAAATGGAGGTTAGATCAGGCCTCGGAAGAGGAAGAAAACTTATGACACAGGTTAAACATAGACTTCTGCTTTGTGTGTAAAACCTAAACACCAGGCAGATGTTTTTCAGGAGATACTGACAGCTTCTAATATTCTCTGAGGCTGACTCCTGCCAAGATGCCAACCCTTCTCTGATACACTGCGCATACCACAAGACCGCACCACCAGCAGCCCCTCATGGGATGCTCAGCAGTCAATAGCATCTGCATACAGTAAATCCAACTTAATTGGAGATTTCTTACAAAATGCACTCACAGTACAAACACAAAATTCTTAGACTAACTTCAGATTTCATGCCGTATTTTCTTAGTTAGGCATGGGGTCTTTTCCCAGTGGTTAGGGAGTTATTTTTAAAACAAAAAATATGTAATCAATTCAGTCTGTGGATTTAGAGAATGTAAATGAGATTGGCTGATACATACAATTTCTCTGCTGTGAAGAACCCTCCTTCTCCACCACAGACCCCGCATGAAGTATTTATTGCCTCCATGGAGCTTACAAGAGAGGCCAATACCATACTTCAGTAAGATGCTGGGGAAATAATATGCTTAAAACAAATAGCACTTGCTTGAACTTCCCTGCTTTCAAACAGAACCTTAATATTTGACAGGGAAGTTACTAGGTTCATGGAGATGCATGAACCTATAGCTTTGCCGCTCCTACAGAATTCCACTCAAATTCAGCCAAACTGTGACCTTCAGAACAGGTTGCCTTTTTTATTTCTTGGATGTGTAAGAAAAAGCCTCATGAAGCATGTAACTGACAGCACTGTAGACAGAACAGAAGACAATAAGATGGCACAAATCTTCTCCTGTAACATCTTGTTTCTGGTTTTTTTTTTTAACATTTTGTGTGTCCTGCATGTGCTTATTGTGCCTCTCCATACACCTTTTGCTTGCTAATTTCCTGGGTCTTTTACAGTGTCCTCTGGTGTGTGCATCCCTGGTGCATCTGACTAAGGAACTGCTGCCGAAGTTGCTCCAGTGCTGGCTCTCCCAAAGAGATGCCATGTCCTCAGAACTCTTTGGTTAGAGGAAAATCTCTAGGGAGGAGAGAGGGGAGCAGCACCTCCTTCTTAACACAGACTGCGATTTCCTGGTGCTGGGATGTTTCAGGGCCAGCAGTAGCAGCTGCAGGGGCAAGGTGAGTCTATGCTAAAGTCAGTGGTGTGTGGAGAAGCACTGCAATGTGGTCAGAAGGTCATGTTTGAGACCCAAATGCTACACTGCACTGACTTTTCATGATTTACTTATTTTATCTTATTTGATTAATTAATCTCTTTAGATTTTAGATGATGGCCATGCTCAAGCAACTCTTCTCTAAGCTGAGGTTCTCAGTTAACTGCTTTGAACCCAAAGAACCTTCTCTTCGTCTATAAATTGTCTTGGAAAGAAAAAATACTTTAGGTAACACCATTTCTCTCTTCTGTGTTGCCCTGGCACAAACCCTATGGGCCCATCCTAGGAGTGGATGCTTTGACCTGTAGCTCACGAGGCATGCTAGTCCCAGCCCACAATCCCAGTGCATGTCCCACATTACCAAATACAGGAGTAACACCTGACACCAGAGTCTGAGACTGTAGTTGTCAGCATGTGAAGATCAATCACCTAGCCCAAGGCAGCACCAAAAGTATTTCAGACTCAGAATTTGAGACAAAAGTATGAGAGCCACTGAGTTTCTATCAAAAGAAGTAATTTTACTGTAGTGCCTTTGTGACCACTCACTTCCCACCCAATTTACATGAATTATTTCAATATGCAAAGAACACATTCTTGTTCTGTCATTTCAGGGAGATTTTTTGCAAGACAAAGACCTAAAGCTCCTGCCAAACTGGCTTCTGAGCAACTGCCACAGCCTCATTATGTACCACCAAACCTTCTCTTCCAGCACAACTCAAGAGCAGACAGCAAAAAGAGACCATAGAGTGGCACTTCTCCCCACCAGCCCTTAGGTATCAAATCTTGGCCACACGAGTATGTGGGAATGGCCACATCACATTAGAGCAAGGGTATACTTTAGCATACTCTTCCCCTCTGAATTTGATTCAGTTATGCATAAGACTAGAAAATGTACTTCTTCTGTTAAAGATAGTGTTTTTATATACACAAATATAGATGCATGTACACACAGTCATTCGCTCCAGGGTTAATATGGTAAAGATATCACGTAAGTAGGTGTGCATTTATTAAAAAATTTGCTGTCAAACAGAATGAGTAGAATCTGAATCAAACATAAACATTTATACTAAGGCCAAGAAAAACAACTGACAACCCTCAAAATTTGTTTTACTTCTCTAAGAGAACTGAAAAAGAATGGATCAAATCCTCACCGTGTGTTGGGCTTCAGGTTCTCGATTGGCAAATGAGTAGTCCCTGCAGTCCTGGTTGACCATTTATTCTTTATAAAGTCATCATAGGATGCGCTGTAAACAAGATAGCCTGTAAATGGGAAAGACAAACAGTTGTGAAGATTCCAAATAAATTTTAAATAATTTATATCCCTAGGTGTTGTGGTAGATTTTATGGGTTAAAAGGAATAGAAGCATCTTTGAATATAAATGTGATTTGATGCCTAACTCTCCTGGAAAATGCCAAACTACAAGAATTTCCTGTCATTAGCTAATAATAATGGAGAATTACATGAGGATGGTACCCAAGTGCAAGTACTAATTTAAAATATTGAAGGCGAAAAGATGACAGAGGCAACCTATTCACAGCTTTAAGTGATACACTGACTGTGCAGAAGCTAATATAGATAGAAATACTGTGGTGGCTTTTTGTTTGTTTGGTTGGTTTTTTTTAAATGTTATGCAAATTTCACTCAGTAAGGTCCAACAGTCTTGGAGAATGAAATGCTGTGGGACAGACACGATATAACCTGTTCAAGTGCCACCTTCTCCCTTCCCAACCATTATCACTACTTTGGGTCTGTCAGCTCCCAACACTCTGCCATTGCTGTCAGTCACAGAGCTGGGTGACGCTCCTTGAAAAATGGACATTTGCACCAAAGCAGTGGCCTTTTCCAATGCTTACTTCAGATCTTTTGGGTTCCCTGGCAAACAGAGGTTCATTAATTTCTAAAATATTTGGGTTATTTATTTACTGTAGTGTCTTTCCAGCAACTTTTGGGATTCATTCTTAAAGTCAGTTGCATGCTCACAGCTGGCCAGGACCCAGGGTGGCTTCATGAGCTGCTGGCTCAGTTTAAGGTAAAAATGATCATTCAAGAAAACTTTCCCCTTCCCCACTACCCCATCAGGAAAGCAACCCTCAGGACAGTACCTGTTACCATATCTCCCTGAGCAGGTTTGGCCCAGTCCACAATGACAAAGGAGTGACAACCTTCGACTGCCACAACAGTGATGTTGTGAGGGGCTTTCACTGGACGCAGCTCTTTCTCTCTGAGGTCATTAGGGATGATTTCATCAAGGCTCTCCACTTGAAAGTGCTCCAGGGCCTCTGTCAAGGAGCAGGGAGCTGCTGGATCTTTATTGAGATAGGTCACATAAGGAGCTGGAAAAGACAGGGTGGTGTTTAGTTAGCCATTTGTAGGTAACACAGAGTAGCACACAGGCTGAAAGTTCCTGAAAATAAGATAATCAAGTTTTGTGATGCATTTAAAATCCCTCCCTTTCCAGCCCAGAGATGGTTCACTGCTGCCAACAAAGCATGGCTTGCACTCAGTTTGACTGATGAGCAGGAGGAACGGGATGCCAATATTCAGGTTTACCCTACACTCACAACCGTACCAAATTATGCAAAGACAGAAGGACTGTATTTGCTACAAGAGGCAGAAGAGAGCAGTCTGACTGCAGGACCCACTGCATGCCTCCAGCTGCCCTGCAGGTGGGGTGGAAATGTCACCCAAACTTTCTGCCTTTGCACATGTGGGAACAGATCCCTGCCAGGCCCTTAGATCATGTGAGACACTACCAGGTCTTAGTGGTTGGTTCTTACACAAACATCCTGAAGCTGGGGTGAAACAACAGAGAGAACAAGAAGAGTAATTCCAAGCTGAAGTTTAATCAGGTTAAATGAAGGGATTATTGTGTGTTTCCCTGGGTACTAAAGGACCAGGACTCATGAGTCCCTACCTTTCAGGCATGTGCTCTCAACCTGTAACTTCTATCTTTAAAAGTTTTATACTGACCAGAATTGCACTTCTGTTTAGATAAAGATTAAACCATCTTTTTATTGCCTTAAAAATCACGGCAGCATTCAAAAGATGGACTGTAAAACTTTCTTTGGAAATGTTTATTCAGTTGAAATAATACAATTCATTGAAATGGTAGTATTATTTCCTTAGTGCCTTGAAATGTTCATAAGCGAACATTTCTTGGTTTATCTTATTGGACTTCATGCCCTAAAGGAATTTTTTCCGTATCTTGCAATGAAGTTAATTTTAGCCTCTCCAGCTAAATGAATCAAGAAGTGCTGTCAGTGAGGCAGCCGAATAGAAACATCATGAAATTGTTTGGACAGGGAAACTGAAGATGCACTGGAAAAAAGTCTTGGCATATACAAAACCAAAACTTTTACTCCAGCAGCAGAGTTCCACTCTAAGCCACATGAAGCCTGTGGATTTTGGAAGGGAAGGCAAGATATGAGTCAAAGCTGACTCTCCATCCCCTGAATTCCCATCTGAAATGCCATGAGAGCTGGCAGCTGACCTGATCTCAGTTCAAATGTGAGGTTTGTAAAGGGCTGTGGGGGGGGGTCACCTGTCTGGGATGGAGGCTGAAATGCAGTGCCCTACCACCTCCAAATCCCTCTGGTCTGGCCCCCAGCTGCTTCTCTGACAAAGAAGCAAATTTCTTTCAGTGAAGTCAGAGCTGCAACACCAAGCTACATGCTTGAATAGCTCATCTACACCAGAAGGTGGGTGAAATCACAGAGGTTGCATGGGTCAGTGGAAAAGAACAAGGTCACCAGAGGAAGACTCACACCTGCATGGAGACTTCCACTGATTGACTTACTGGTGTGAACTTAAAATGATGCAGCTGAGCTGAACTGAGCACCAGAATAGACACTACTCTTGATCTCGTACTGACTTCAGCTAAACTGAACACATTGCAGACTACAAAGCAGAGCACTTACACTGGAAGAGTACAAAGAGGTTTGCACTGCTTCAACAATATCGTTGTGGGTCCACACACAGACATGCAAGCATCAAAGCTATAAACAGAGGACTGCTCTTCGGGTTTCCCAGGTTGCAGTCCTTACAAGGACCACACACCAGTCTGTTGAACGTATTTGCACAATGGTCTTGGCTTAAGGGCTGACCTTGCTAGAACAAGAATTCTTTGCAGCGCAAGTTGTAAGCTACATAAAACAAAGGACATCCTTACCAGTGAACCGCTTCTTCCCAGCAATATCATATTCTGACACAGGGCCAGTGCCAACAACACTTGTCTCTGGATAGACAACTTCTGATTCTGTCGTTGTAGAAGCAGTGGTGGTGGTGACAGTGGTGGTGGTTGGTGGCAAAGTGCTCTCAAAGAACTCGTAGTCTTCAGAGGAAACATAAGATGAAAATGTTAGTTTGCTTCATGTTATTTTGACTTAACCATAAGAAGGGAAACATTCCTGTCACAGCCACAGTCCCAAAGGAGTGCCATGCACCGTGCCCTAGCTGCTAAACTCCTTATGTATCTCTAAGTCAGGGTTGGTCACTCCTCAGCCTCGCAAAGGTTTTCACCAAACTGATGGAGAGTGAGCACAAAGTCTTTGCCTTGGAATATTAGTGTTGCTGCTGATTTAGACCTTGCCCAGAGCTAAAAAGGGTGACAACAAACAAATGTTTTCATACAGCAATATCCTGAACTTGCTCTGTCTGCCACCTACCCTTACCATCCCCAAAGACAGACAGCACACTAACTGAGCCCCTGGTCATAGCCCTCAAATGCCAAAGGAAGGAGATAAAGGAGTGAAAAAATGGCCTATTAAGAAAACTCTGTGTTATTAATCTAAAATGCTAGAGCTGGTTCATACTGCTCTTAAACCTTCCTGCAATGTAGAGGTGTGTAGTCTTGTACTTGCCACTCATGTTCCTAGTAGAGCCATGAGGGAAGGCAAACTGGCACACATTAATCTCCTGATACTCAGTCCCATTAAATCCAGTGCTCTTTGAAAAGCTACTGTGCTACCAGATTGACACACAAAACAAAGCAAAAGAAGCATTTGGCAACCCTGTTATGTCCTTATACAGGCTGTGAGACTCGGCTCATGGCTTTGAGTGTTTTCTGCTTAAATTGCTAAAGAATCTGTTTTCTGCAGGTGACCTGCACCTAAGTGGAGGTCAGGCAAAATACCCATGCACTGAGGACATTCTGCTTTCATGGGGACGTAAGGAACGTGGGATGCAGGACTTGTGCAGTTTTCAGTTCATCCTCTCCTCCCCACATTCTTAGTTGGCCTCAGTATGAGGCAATCAGAGCAAAAAGCAAAAAAGTCTGTGGTAACTTCCTCTCAGTTGCTGCACTCTCTTCTTAAATGTGGTTTTCTTTTGGTGGTGGTAGTTTGACTTAAGATCCCAGCACTTCATCCATCAAGAAAAAAACTTTCACTATTCTAGAGCCATAAATTCTACTAAAAAGCTAATACTAGAACACTTTAACAGGGGTCTGTACTTTATATGTGGGGGTAGGAGCAGGAATCTAAGAATTAAACACAGCAGAACATCAGAAGTCAGTGATGCCAGAAAGTGAATGCTAATTCAAATAATCAAGAATTTGCATTCCCTGTGCAAACTTATAATTAAATGCTGGGACTTGAGGTTTCTTCTTCAGATAGGTTTTGTGCACCCTGAATTATAGTATCAAGATGGCATGAATAAAACTGCAAAAATCTTTCCCTCTTCTCCTTTTATCTGATTTCAAATTTCTTTAAGTTAAATTCCACATGAATCTAGCAGATTTATTATTTCATATGTTGGTGATCTCATTCAGTATGAGCATGTTTTGTAGTCTAAACACAGACTACACATGAAAATAGAAGACAAAAAATATATTCACAGTGCTGTAGAATGCTAAAAACTCACTAAGGTATTTCAAGTTTCCAGGCCTCAGACAATATTTTGTTTTTCTATTTTAGAAGAGTTCATTGACTTTGACCGTGCTAGAGTTAGAAGTTGTACCAGAGAAAGTAAGCCAAAGACTGAAGCGGTGACTGTATGACCCAGCTCTGAACACAGCTTGTTTCCACAACAGGTTCCTGTTAGATCGACAGAAAGGGACCTTCATGTCCTGAAACTGCTGCCTTTGCAGCCCTGAACTTCACAAGTAACATGGGACTCTGGAAAGCTTTTCCAGCTCCCCACTGCTTGCTTAAGCTCCCATTCACCAACCTGCCCCCTCAAACCCAATTCCAAAGAAAGAAGAGGAGAAAAAAAACAACCCAAAACATGCAATATTTTACAGTTAAACAGTACCATCATCGTATATCACATATGCCTCTGGAGTTGCTGTTACATCTGAATCCAGTCCTGAGAATGTATCTATTGAAGGAGAAAGAAAAAAATGCTGTAAGAATTCAATGGTCACATCCAGAAATACTTCTGGAATAAAATTAAAAATAGAAGTCTTTAGCCAGTTGATCTGTAAAGAAATAAGACAACTGCCTAGTTTCAGGATAACACCATGACAGTCCTTTCTGCTCATTTAGAATAACAGCTGAGTAGCTAATTGCAGTAGCCATGAGTTTTGCTGGGGGAAAACGAGTTCAGGGCTGCTACTTGAAATAGAGTAATGCACCTTCTAGGAGCTCTGCCTTGGCGCTGGGAGCTTGGAGCAAAGGCAGGGTGCCAGCAACCACGTAACGCTCAGGTCAGGATTTGACAACGCTTTATAGTCTCAGAAGCAGTAAATGTGAGAAATTTATATGCAAAAAACCAACCAAGCAATTCAAATAAACTGAAAACTTCTATTCAAATATTTTTGCTTGGGAATAAAACTCAAAACAACCCACAGAACCATGACATTTACAGACGGTGTCATACTAACAAGTAATGCAGCCCAACAGGAAAGGATTTATAGGAGGAAGTTGTGCTGGATTTCCCAGGGTTTTACTTTGCACTAGCTCTAGTCTGACCCTGGGGACTGGATGCCCATTAGAGGTTAGGGCACATATGTGTCATCCTGAAGCACTGCTTCTGCTTTAGTTTCATCCAACAAGAATTCAGTTTGTGCACATCGAGATTGCTCCATGATGCAAACGAAAGCATGGCGAGAAGAGGCGATTGTAAGGTACACATCAGAAACACTCTCCTGATCCACCCCAAAAACCAATGCAAATGCACCCAGAGATCTCCCAGATGCCTATTCCTTTATATTATCTCTGCAGGTATATCCAGCACCAGATACATAAACCATCAAGTATTTAATCTGGTGAACCCTGGAGGCTTCCCTGCACACTCTTGAGAAACTAATTTCTTCACATGTTGTACAGGGAACCCAAAGCTCAGATTAGCCATGCAAATCAATGCAAACAAAGCAAAAGTATTGAGCTGGAACCCACTGCAGGTACAATCAGAAGCCTTCAGTGAAATGCTGGGGCTGGGGAGAGGCCACTGCATGAATGAAGACAAGAGAAAGACAGCTTTGACCTCAAGATACTACACAGAAACTGGTAATGCTCCTGTAACACTTGATATGCAAGCAAAAATCTTAGTTCTACTAAGCTAGTAATACAAACAATGCAAAATTTCAACTGCCAGTGTCAAACAGTTAACAAACATAATCTGAATTATACATTTTCATTTTGCAGGTATTTTTTATTTAGAACCAACAATTATTGAACAAGACTGATTTTTTCCTACTACAAGAAGTATCTTTTAAATATACAGTAGTGATTTTAATGCCAAAATAAGTTTTGAAAACACAGGAAATGGGTTAATTCTTGTCAGACTTTCATATAGCAAAACCTGATACTTCCTCATGGCAGACTTCTGCAGCCACTCTTCAGGAGATCATCCACTTGGAAGCCACTTGAATTCTCTGAGGATAATCAGTGACAAAGTGGCTCCTTTGTTGAATTCTGCAGATCTTCTCACCACAGTTGGCCAGTACCACCCAATGTTTAAAATATATGCACTTATCTTTGATTACATCCAAGTAAACAAGAGGCTCAGATATGCAGAAATTTGAAGTCCTTCACAGGCAGATTTCAACTTCACACCTACTAGCTAGTCAGACTTTTGCCTATATACAATCCAGCATAAACAAATTTATTTTCTGTTTCTGTGCTTGTTCAGTCTCTTCTATTTCACTTTCTGTGCTTTTTTAAGAAATAGCTGTGGCATGAAGCTGATAGGAGTACTTTCCAAAAGACCTCTCACTTTATTATTTTCTCCACGTACACCAGCTGAAGTTCTCCAGCTTGCTCCATGTCCCTTCACTGCAGCTCTTCAATGGAGCCTCATCTGGTACTGGCAGTGAACCCTGACAGTATCAGATGAGGCTAAGTCCTGCTATGACCACCGGCTGTAGTCTTTTGGCATCTGTAAGGATAGCAGACCACACAACCATTGCTTGATTTTATCACATGTAACAAGTGGTTAAGACTCCACCTCTTTTATTTCCACGTGAGTTCATGAAAAAAGTTTAGCTGATTTAACTGACAAATCACGCTTGTGTGGCCAACATTCTTCTTGAAAGATAAAGACTGTTGAATCTAGTGGAATGTTGACAATAGATTCTGCTGGGTTGAGCAAAAATCCTGCCAGAGAGTAAGTGAATTTGCCAAAGCTTATGTAGAACGTTTGGCGGTGGGTTTTGGCACTTGCAGCTCCTGGCTGTTTGGGAGTAAAGCACTTAGCAACAAAATATCACACTTTGACAGAGTGAGTATTTCATTAAGTGATCTGGAGTATTTTCCAAACTCAGATTTAAGGGAAAACAACATAAAGCCATGATTTGGAAATGGTCAAGGGAAAACTGCATTAAATATTTTGATAGTTCAAGTAGTAGTTGTTTATCCCTCTTGAAATAGACACTGCACTTGTTAAAGAAAAAAAACCAGCCATCACTAAGTAAATACCATAAAGATGCTTTCTTTTCAAGCAAGTTCCTCTGTGGAACACGCAGGTTGTTTTTGCTGCATTTGTCAAATGTTGAGGCAGGTCACCAGGATTTAAAAAAAAAAAAAAAAAGAGGTGATAGAGAAAATCCTAGTAATTACTCTGCAGAGAATCCCAGGTAGGGATTAATATTGCTCAAGCTATAAAGCTGGTAAGAAGTGGAAATCCAGTACCATCTTGTCCTTTCAGTCTTCCACTTTGATGCCTTTGCAGACACACTGTTGAAATGCCAGTTTAGGAATGACTTAAGAGTCACTGAACATGCAGCCTATGTAGAAAACCTAGTTCTCATTCATGCCCCTAAGAAAGTTCAAATATCCAGCAAGCTCATCTGGCAGAAGGCAAAAAAAAACCCCAAACCAACAAAAAACAAGCAGAATGTTTTTAAATGTTCATAAAATCACATGAAAATTCCCCAAGCCACAACTCTGCTAAAACTAATACTGCAATACTTTTTGTTGTTCAGCTTCTGGAGCCTATGCTCAGATTAAGCCCAGCCATATTTCAAAAACTCTTATAATATGTATTCTCAGAAGAGATCCTTCAGGTATGAAATAGCACAGGTCAGAGAGGAAACATTACAGGATATAAGCAACACCTAAGGTAAGCAAAAGGAGCTGGTGGGAGCAGGAGGGACTCTAACCCTATCAAAAATCACAGTGCCCTTTAGGTGACTTTGAAAATACCAGGCTGAGCATATAAAGCAGTATTTGTAACACTTTTGTAAATACAACTAAGAACAACAAAAGCACCAAAGGGAAAAATAAAAATCTTCAAAGAAATATTTAATGACAATGGTCATATATACATACGTTTGTGTGTATGTATGTAAACACACATCTATGCATATATATATAAATATATATATGCATGCACACTTCTATAAATACATACTCAAACAGTGGGATAATTGTCAGATAAATATTAATACTAAAAATCACTGTAATTCCATCTTTACAAGGCAATAACACCTGTGACTCATTACTTACCCAGGGTAGCTGGTAAGGGAATTCTCAGCCTTTTGCTTCTGAGACCCTTCCCAAAGATGCCATCCTCAGACTCACTGTGAGTTGCTAAAGCCACATCTTTCCATATCTTCTGCACTCTTCAAAGTGATAGTTCAGCTTCTCAGGCGATGGTTAAATGACCTACTTATAAATCTATTTTGGCTTCAAAGATACAGGTATATGTGGTAAAGGTAAGGGGGTTTAACTACCCATTAAACCTGGCCACTGTAGTTGGCAGTTGTCTGACTGCCATCCCTTTGTTTAGCTTATGGCCTTGCTTCTGCTGCCCATTTATAGACTGAGTTTGGGGATTACCTACAAATGGAAAGGATAAGGACTACCATGGTGCTCCCTGATCCAGTTTTGCAAAATAAGCAGCTAACTGGTTCGTAATGCAACATTCAGATGATGAAAGGATAAAACATGGTAAGAACAGGCTCAATGTCCAATGACTCCAGTGCATTTTTATTTGTTTACTTTGGATTTTAATTTGACACCACATCCTAAGCTGGTATAACTGCAACAGGGAAATAATGACATGTACTGACACTGTTTTATATTTTCCTATGATAAAGAAATTACTTTACAACTCTCTGCCTTATCTGTGCAGAGTCAGAGTTGTCTTTCCACAGTCTCATCTGTGCTGTGCTACATTCCTGC